GAAAAACTGAAATAATGCTTCACTCATTCTAGTATTTATAATGAAATAAATGCTATAGACACTTCGAAATATTGGTAATCGAGAGAATTTCTCCACCAATCGAGGACTATTTTTATAAACGTACTTATATTTAGCATCATGCGTGCTATGACTAAAATCTAAGTTAAAACATAGCTCCCACTTCATGAAGACAGGTTCAAATCGCCATGTGAAGTATTAAAGTTTTCAATGGAACATTATCTCTGAAGCCCGTAATCTCTACCTGTCTTAAACAGAGACACTTCTGAGAAGCTTATATTCCCTTCCACCCTCATGTACATTATTTTTCCAATGCTTATGCAAAAACGTATGTTTAAAAAAAAGTTCTCAAATAACCCTTCTTCGACATCATTCACGGACTGATTGAGTTTATTTATTTATTTTCAATCGTTTTTGTATTGAACTTAATGAACGCATTTACGATTATTTTTCTCATTAAAATTTATTTCTCAAACACGGCTGATTAGAACTTGGAATAGTATTGTTACGTCTCGGTTCGTTAGTTAATTTTCCGTAACTTCGTTCCGATGAAACTTTAGCGACACATGTCCTTTCTTAAATAAAACTAGTTTATTCTTTCCTAATACAACTTTACGATACACTTAATTTCAACAGTCTCTCTATAACAAACGCTCACGTCTTACGTGGCCAACAATATTTTATCCGCATACATTCAATTACTCATTACCTACACATTGTCTTCCTGGGATTATACAACCATACCTTGTCTGCTGGTACAAAGCTGACTTCAGTGAATCAACAGACGTTTTCAAGTTTGAATGCACTTGATGGTGAATATCATCCATTCTTTCCAATAACACTTTCGCAAACTCTGACACATTCTCAGGCAACTCTTCATAAGGTTGGCATCCCTTATGCTTGGGTCCCCTTTTAGCACTACATGTGCTGCATGTCCTGCACAATTCTTTCACATCTCGCCTCATACCTATCCAGTAAGATCTTTCTCGTAGATGACTCAATGTCTTCCTAATTCCAAGATGTCCTGTTAAATTATCATGGGATTGACGCAGCACAACTTCCCATAACTTTCTCGGTATTACCGTTTGCCAAGTTGTCAATTTCCCATCTGTAGTTCCCATCTCCGGAGAAGAATACCATCTTCAAGCTTTAACTGGTCCCATTGCACCCAATAGTGCTTTGTCACAGGGCTTAGACTAGACACCTTCTCCCAAGCAGGGCGCAAAACACTTGCTTTTAAAAAATCAATCATTGGCTTCAAATCTTGATCTTTCTCCTGCTTTGCTTTAATATCGATACCTGGTTCCACTTCGTCATCATCAACTCTTTTAGTCGGCTTGACTTCAGCTTGATGGCACCTAATTAGTTCAACCTATCTTTTAACAGTTACCGGAACTTGCTTGCTTCACTTGTACCT